CTGGGGATTCGAACCCGCCACCTTAGGTGTACGTGGCTGGCGCCTTAGCCGGTTGAGCTATAGGCGCCGAGCCAAGGGATCACTTCTGTGGTTTATCTTACAAGGGTACAAGTGAATCTTTCTAAAAGTAGAACATGAACGTTTTAACACAATAACTAGGAAAATGACATGAAGGCTATGTCAACCAGTTTGATGAAAATATTTCAAATTGTATATGAAAACACCACACTGTACCCCAGAATTGCATTAATGTACATAGTTACCATTCAATTTAAAAAAAAATAATAAAATAAAATTCAACACATTGACTTAAGACAAACACCAAAAAACCCCCAATATTACATACCTTCAAGATGTAAAGAAAGGTATAACTAGCTTGATAACTAGAACATAGTAGACATTAAAAATAAACAGTAATCAGTACTATTAATACTATAAAGTATCTAGTTTATGTACACTAAAATTAAAATGGTGAAAAAGTTAGAGAGTAAGTCTTTTCTCTCTGAATACCGTTAAGGAGACAGGTCAGATTCGTCCCTTCACCTTCCCAGTCTCCTTTTCTACATTTAGTTCATATTAGGAACAATGAGGTAAGCTTTGTTTGCTTAACTTATTGGCAATATACACATCTGAGGTTAAAATTCTAAATTCGAACTAACTTTTAATGTTGTATCATTGCCTCCGACATCTTCAAATTTCACACTGGAGATCTGGAACTCTAGCCCTCTGGCTTTGGCTGGTAAACAAAGAAGAGGGTGAAGATTAGTGATTCAGAAGTAACTTTTAGTTTAATCTTTAAGTAAACAAAGAAGATTCATCAGATTTAGAAATGTTTTCTAGTAATTCTAGTAGTTTTCTGCACATGGTAGGTCCCTCAGGAAAAATAGCCTGGAATTGGCTCGGCACCTGTAGCTCAGTGGTTACGGTGACAGCCACATACACCGAGGCTGGTGGGTTTGAACCCGGCCAGGGACTGCTAAACAACAACATCAGCTGCAATAATAAAACAGCTGGGCACTGTGGCGGGCGCCTGTAGTCCCAGCTACTTGGGAGGCTAAGGCAAGAAAATCACTTAAGCTCAGTAGTTGGAGGTTGCTGTGAGCTGTGATGCCATGACACTCTACTGAGGGCAACATAGTGAGACTCTGTCTCATTAAAAAAAAAAAAAAAAAAAAAAAACCCTAGACCGGAGTGATGCCTCTTTCACAGCAAACATGACCATCACCACCAGTAATACCTGCATCTCACCTTTCTTTTGCAGGAGAGCTTCAATTTCTCCATCTACTTCCTGAAGATCTTCTTTCTTCCTTTTGCTTCCTTTGCTTCTTAACCTGCCTTTCCTTTTTTTATCACTCTCCAAAAGAGAAGAATCTTTTAAATTCTGGAAAGAAAATAAATTTAAATATGCCATGCTTACAATTATAATGCCAATAACTGGTTTTAAAAGGTAGACATTTTTAAAAAAATCCATTCCTGCCCTTGCATTTTCACCTCTGTTAAATATTTCCAATCTCTTTGGTAAAGGATGTTGTCTACTGGAAATGTCCTTTCTCTTTATTGCTATAAAGCTCAGTCAAAATCCTAACATTTAAAAATACCATTCCAGGCTCGGCGCCTATAGCTCAATCGGCTAAGGCGCCAGCCACGTACACCTAAGGTGGCGGGTTCGAATCCCCAGCCCGGACCCGCCAAACAACAATGATGGCTGCAACCAAAAAATAGCCGGGCGTTGTGGCGGGCGCCTGTGGTCCCAGCTACTTGGGAGGCGGAGGCAGGAGACTCGCTTGAGCCCAGGAGTTGGAGGTTGCTGTGAGCTGTAATGCCATGGCACTCTACCCAGGGGGACAGCTTGAGGCTCTGTCTCAAAAAAAAAAAAAAATACCATTCCAAACTCTTTCAGTTAGATTCAATTTCCTCCTCACACTACCAGAAAACTGCATTTGCAATGTCATTATAGGCTACCATAATTTGCCTTGTATTTGAGGCAAGTGATTTATGTCACTCAATAATTCAGCCAGCACAGGGACATGTGCCTGTGGTCCCAGCTACTGGGGAGGCTGAGGCAGGAGGATCTCCTGAGCCCAGGAGTCCAAGCTCTAGTGAGCTATGATTGTGTCTATAAACAGTCACTCTTTTCTAGCCTGGGCAACATAGTGAGATCTCATCTCTTAAAAAAAATAATAATAAAATATAATTCAACGTAAGAGTCAAGTTCTTGACAGTCATAATAATGTTCTCTACAGATAGGTTATTAAAGCAAAGAGATTTGGAAAGGGTCCATCAATAACTCAAAAGTGGAAAGCTTCTGCCAAATCAAAGGGCTTGGTTCTTAGAAACCACTAAAGCATCACTGTCTAAGTATGTGTATGTGTCAGCCACATATGTAGAGGCAATATAAAAAAATTATTAATGGGATGTTTTATACTTTTTTTTGCAGTATGTCTTCAACATCTAATATATAATTTAATTTTATAGCACATCTCAATTTGGACCTAAATTTTAATGAAAACACTTGACTTGTGTTTACTTTATAAAATTTATAGCTGAAAAAGCACATTCCTAGCTCTAAGAGGATATAGAAAAGGAGATTAAAGGAGCAAGGCAGCCAAATCATAAGGGACTTTATTGACAATTACAAGATCTTTGGATTTGAGACAAAATGAAGCCATTGGAGGCTTATTAAATAGAAGAATAAAAGTGACCTGGCTTAATCTGTTAAAAAGAAATCTCTAGGGGAGAAAAAGAATACACTAGGGGAACAAGAATGGACATAGAGTCCTGATGGAAGACTATTTCAACAGGTAAAACAAGAAAGTAGAGGCTTAGACTAGAATAAAAACAAAGGCAGTCATGCAAAGTGATAAAATTCCATGTGTATTGGCTCGGTGCCTGTGGCTCAAGCGGCTAAGGTGCCAGCCACATACACCTAAGGTGGCGGGTTCGAATCCCCAGCCCGGGCCCGCCAAACAACAATGATGGCTGCAACCAAAAAATGGCCAGGCGTTGTGGCGGGCGCCTGTAGTCCCAGCTACTTGGGAGGCTGAGGCAGGAGACTCGCTTGAGCCCAGGAGTTGGAGGTTGCTGTGAGCGTGATGCCATGGCACTCGACCCAGGGGGACAGCTTGAGGCTCCATCTCAAAAAAAAAAAAAAAAAAAAATTCCATGTGTATTACCAAACTCCTACGTTTTTTATAGAACACATATATCCCCTTGACATTATTATGGTGAAAAGGCTGTAATGTATTTCAACTATGTGTAGCTAAAATTTCACCACAAAAGTACCTGTATCTCAGTTATTGGCTTGTTATGATTACTTTTCTCATGTGATAGGTCCAAGAAAAAACTATCTTTCTTTCCATCTGGGGTTTTGTCAATAAACCATCCTCTCTCAGAATCTCCGGCAGGCGTCTTCAAAGAAATGGAGCTTGTTTTGGAAGTTATCCGTGGTGTGGAAGCAGTGGGTTCTCTTTGCTCCATCTCAGAAGTAGTTGAAACACAATCAGGATTTCCTTTCCGATATAAACAGAGCAGGGAACTGTTCATGTGATTTGCTGACTGGCAGAAACACGAAACATGACTTTAGCATAAATTATTCAGTAAGTACAAATGAGAAGTTCCATTACCTACACTAATACATTTTCTTCTTCTTCTTTTTTTTCTTTTGAGACAGAGTCTCACTATGTCACCCTTGGTAGAGTGCCATAGTATCATAGCTCACAGCAACCTCAAACTCTTGGGCTTCAGTGATACTCTTGCTTCAGCCTCCCAAGTAACTGGGCCTACAGGCGCCCACCGTAACAATGCTCAGCTATTTTTTTGTTGCAGTTATCACTGTTACTTTAGCAGTCCTGGGCCAGGTTCGAACCCACCAGCCTCAGTGTATGTGGCTAGCGTCCTACCCACTGAGCTACAGGTGCCGCCTACACTAATACATTTTCCAAATTTTGCTTTCAATAACTTCTCTCACAATATTTACACTCAGCATATATAGGTGGCCACAATAAGATGATTCATAAACAAGCATTTACTATTCAAAAGGATGTACCTTCAACAGCACTTAAAGTTGATAAAGAACCAATTCATAAACCAGGCACAGTGGCTCACACTTGTGATCTTAGCACTCTGAGAGGCTGAGGCAAGAGTATCATTTGAGCTAAAAGAGTTTGAGACCAGCTCAGCGCCTGTGGCTCAAGCGGCTAAGGCACCAGCCACATACACCTAAGGTGGTGGGTTCGAATCCCCAGCCCGGGCCCGCCAAACAACAAT